CCCCCCCCCCTCTCCCCTAGCCCTCGTCCTGTCTATGTCACCCTCGCTTGGCTGTGGCGAAGCTGGGGATACGGAGGCAAAGACTGTGCAGGCGGTATCGCGGGGTGGCTAGGGCTGGGTAGAAGACAGGAATGACTAAGCATGGGACAATAGTAATAATAAGGGCAATTTGGTAGACAGCTACGCCTGCCGCTATGGCGAGAGGAGGATAAGTAAATTTAGTTTGTGAACAAAGAGACTTGAACTCTTAAAATTTATTAAATCATGAATTCCTAAGATTCACTCGGCTACCAATTTCGACATATTCACCCTTGTTGTTAAATTTAAATAATCGACCCCTCCTTTTTGAGGATTTAAGGTACATTAAACTAACCCTCATTTTATAAAATAAAAAAACCATACCCTAAGTTTTTACAAGAAAAAAACAAAAAAAGTTTACCGTTAGATGCGCCCCCTATCGCCCTCTCTTGTAGCCACCCCTAGCTTTAGCAAGGGAGGCCGCGCCGCCCCGCGCCGACAGGCAGGCAGGCAGGCACAGCAGCCAGCCCTACCCACCCCTAGCCTACCCACCCCTAGCTAGCCCTAGCCTACACACCGCTACGCCTGCCTACGCCAGCCTACGCCTGCCTATCGGCGTAGGCAGGCTAGGCAGGCTAGGCAGGCATAGCCTCGCCCCTTGCGAAGCAGCAGCCATAGCGAGGCGAGGCGCGAGGGAGGCTGCTGCCTTGCAAGAGGGCTTTGCCTCGCCTCTACCCACCCCTAGCTAGCCCTAGCCACCCCACCGCTATCGGTTTTACCGGGAGGGAGGCTGCTGCCTTGCAAGAGGGCTTTGCCTCGCCTTGGTGCGAGCAAGGGAGGGAGGCTGCTGCTACGTTCTCGCTGTGGCGGTAGCAGGTGGCTGGGAGGGCTAGAGAATCCAGATGCTAGGGTAGGGTAGCTGCTGCGCAATAGGGCTCTTAAGGGGCGGGAGGGCAGGGCAGCCGTTAGCGCTAGGGTTAGGAGGGCTTCGCCTCGGTCAAAGCGAAAGGTGCGAGAGGGTTAAAGCCAAAGGTAGTTAGCATAATCGCATTATCGCAAAGCGTATGCGAGTATGCAAGGGTAGCCATGAAGGAATGAATTAATATTTAAATAAATCTATATTCCCCCAGTCAGGCTTGAACTGACAAAAATCATTTGGAAGACGATTATTTTACCATTAAATCATGAGGGATAAGTATGATTAGCTCAACAGATTATTAAATAAATATGTATTATAATTTTATATTATATTTTTTTGTCGACACTTTTATATAATTTTTTATTTTATATTATGTTATATTTTATCTCTACACTTTTATATTCTTTATATTTTATTAGAGTTGGCAAAGCCAGGGGCGTTGTTCCCCGCTACGTGATGCTAACGATAACCAAGCAACATTGTTGCTAGGCATCGTTATCTTCTCTACCTCGCCCTTCCTTTACCCTGACGGATGCATCGCAAGCCTAATCATGGCAAAGTGAGCAAGCGTCTATTAAGATTTAATATAAATAATACGTAGCCGCTAAAATATTCAATAATTATTGAATAGTATCTATTTGTATACTTTTTTAAGTTTGATGATGATATCGAAAAGTGGCGCCAAAGGCCCCGGCAAAGCCGATAAGTATAAATTGGGTTTTGCCGCCCTGCCCTACCCTCTTCTAGCCACCCCACAGCTATCGCCTTTGCCTGCCTCGCCATGGCTGTAGGCGGAGGGAGGCTGGACAAAGCCTGGCCGCGCCGCGCCGCGCCTATAGGCAGGCAGGCAGGCAGGCAGGCACAGCAGCCACCCTCCTAAGCCTCCCTCCCTAGCCAAATGGTAGGAGTGGGTAGACTAGGGTAGGGCTGGGCCTGGGCTGTAGTGGGTGGGGTGGAGTGATGAGGGGTGGGGTGGGGTGGACTGGGGGAGGCGACGAGGTGAAGCCATAAGGCTGCTAAATGATACTTGGTGTTTTGTTTACCCAGGCTTTGCCAGGCCCGCGCCTCGCCTCGCCCCGCCCCTTGCGAACCAGCCGCCACGGTGAGGCGACTGCTTCGCAAGGGGCGGGACGAGCGAAGCAGCAAAGCGGAAGGGGCGAGGCAAAGCCGATAAATCTAAATTTTCGCGAAGCGGTATTTTTATATAAAAAACCCCTTTGCCTGGCGAAGCCGCAAAGGCCCCGGCAAAACCGATAAGTATAATTGGGGTTTTGATGAGGGCTGCTAAATTATAAATTTTGTTTTTGTGGAAATATCCCTGTTGGTAGCATTATTTTAAAATGAGACTAAAAAGGGGTTTAAAATATAATAAATTAGTAACCCTTAAATTCGAAGTGTCCGAGTTTTAAGAAAATATTTTGCTTTGAAAAAAAAAATTAGGGTTTTTGAAAATAATGGTTAATTTATTTAATTAAATTACTTTGATTTTAAAGGCTTTAATACTATGAGAGGTGCTGCCAGGCCAGGCTTTGCCAGGCCAGGCAAGTAAAAATGAAAAGTGTCTCCCACCCCTCACCTCCCGCCAGGCCAGGCTTTGCCAGGCCAGGCGAGAGACTCCATGGAATCTCTCGCTCGCGCCCAGCCCTGGCCTACCCACCCCTAGCCTACCCACCGCTAGCCTGCCTAGCCTGCCTAGCCTGCCTAGCCTGCCTAGCATGCCTAGCCTGCCTACGCCGGCCTATCGGCGTAGGCAGGCGTAGGCAGGCGTAGGCAGGCGTAGGCAGGCGTAGGCAGGCGTAGGCAGGCTTTGCCTCGCCTTGGCGCGAGGGAGGGTGCTGTGCCTTCGGCCTTGCTCGCCTCTTGCTAGGGTAACACTGGGCAAAGCCTGCAGCAAGGAGGCTGCTTCGCTCGCCTCGCCTCGCCATGGCGGGGCGGGGGGGGGGAGGGAGGGTGCTGCTTTACTCGTCTCTTCCGCTGCCTGCCTGCCTGCCTGCCTGCCTGCCTGCCTGTCGGCGCGGGGCGACGCGGCGCGGGGCGGGGCGGCGCGCCGCTGCGTGGCGAGAAGCAGCAAAGACGGGAAGGGAGGGCGAGGCAAAGGCGATAGCTGGGGGTGGTGATATCTACTAAGGGTAAAATAAGAGACTCGAACTCTCTTCATCGTTGCCACAAAACGGTATTTTGCCTATTAAACTAATTCTACCTCTTTTAATTTTAAACTCACTTTAATTTAGCCTAGATTATTTGGCCACCCCACCCCCCTGGCTTTGCCAACTCACCCCCTACACCCGCCCCGCGCCGCCGCCTAGGCGAGGGGAGGGTGAGGCGAGGGCTGGGTAGGGCTGGGTAGGGCAGGGTCGGCTGGAAAAGGTTAAGGCAGTGGTGTGGTACGGGTACCACCTTTATTTATTTATTTATGTAATTGATATAAAAGAGAGTTAAGATAACTGTATGCTGAATGATAATTTTATATTCTCCTCCTCCCTTCCCTTTACATCCCGAACTACGAAATTGAGCGAATCAAGCCTGAAGGTGGGTAGTTTAAAGTAGGCACTAGGGGGAGGGGTAATGTATTATATATTATATAATAATAATAATAATCATAAAAATTAAGTAAGGAAAGGTTAGAGATCAAATTTAGATATATTTATGTTAGCAATACGATTTGTGGTAAAAGCAGAGTAAATTTAAGTACTATAACCTCTTGCCTTTTTCTACACGATGTTCAGTCCGCTGATCCGCAGCTTGAGATACCCTTAATTAGAGGCCTAGATTGGGCATGGTAGGAGAGAGTGATAAACCGCAAAAGGAAGCGGTACTCACCCTCGCTTTGCGGGGGAGGCAACTGCTGGTTTACCCTCCCCCTCTGTCTTAAAGCAGTGGTGTGGTATGGGTAGGAGATAGCTGTATGTATTGTGATTACTCTTAAATGGTGATTAGTCCCGTAAAATTAAATTATCGAACACTTAAGTATGTTTAGCTTATTTTTACAAAAAAAATTGAAATTAGGTCGCCTATGTCTGATCTATTATTTTAGGTATAATTCAGTTAAGTAATAACTATTTTACTAAATTTATCCCGGCCCTGCCCAAATGCTCCCCCTCTCCAGCCTTTAAACTTATGTAATTATAAATCTATGTTAGATTTACTCTCTGGCACTAATTTTAGCAGGGCAGTATAAGTCTTATTTTAAATAAAAGGGGTAAAGATGAGGTATAATAGCTTATTAGTAGTATTAACAAAAATCTTCCTATAGAAATCTAACTCACCCCTACGGTATACGTAGAAAAAAAACAAAAACAAACTATGCCACCCCCTCTGGGGACTTGGTTTAAACCCCTACCTAAACACTGAAGGTACGCGCTGACGTACATACAATAACTAAAGATAATATTTTTTATTCTTTGTACTAAATCCGACACATTCACTCCAGCCCGGCCCACCGCACCGCTCGCTTCGCGGAGCGAGCGAGGGGAGGGTGAGGCGCTTTGCCGCCCCTCCCCCGCGCCAACCCACCGCTAGCCATACCATTTGCCTGGCGAGGGCATAGCCTCCCCTCTGCTTTGCTAGAGATTCCAAGGCAGGGCTGGAGAGATTCCAAGGCGAGAGTCAAAGCCTGCCTGCCTGCCTGCCTGCCTCTCGGCGCGGCGCGGCGCGGCGCGGGGCGGGGCGGCGTAGCGAGGGTAGGGCAGGGGTAGAAAAAAATAAGATTAAAGATAAAAACAAAAGATGTCCTAATTATCTCATTAGATCAAAATTGATTATTATATAATTATCATAGGTTTGCCTCATTAAGCAGAGATAGTTCCTAATAGGAACCTAAAATAATCATTTAAATAATGCCTCAACTAATTCCTTTTTATTTTATAAATCAATTATCTTTTTCATTCTTAAGTTTATTAACATTAATATATATTATATCTAAATATGTATTACCTTTATTCACATTTCAACAAGTAATAAGAATGTACATAACAAAATTAAGTAACAAATCTTAGTAAATAGATATATAATATATTTATAAATTATATATCAAATATATTAACCCCACCGGCCATCTAACAACCAGCAACCCTGGGCCCGTCAGGTTAAAGCTAGTTATCCGGCTACCATCAGACTGCCCATCTTCCACGTACTCTTGCACAACCTAATCTTCGGCCGGGTAGCCTACTGCACTATAGCCTCCCCCTCTCTTCTAGCCACCCCTAGCTTTAGCAAGGGAGGCTGGGCAAAGCCTGGCCGCGCCGCCCCGCGCCGCGCCGCCCCGCGCCTGCCTACGCCTGCCTACGCCTGCCTATCGGCTAGGCAGGCTAGGCAGGCGTAGGCAGGCAGGCAGGCAGGCAGGCAGGCACAGCAGCCTGACCTACCCACCCTTACCCTGCCCTCCATAGCCCAGCTCCAACCCAGCCCCTTGCCACACCTAGCCTTGGCTGCTGCACCCCCAGCCTCCCTCCATACCCCCCTCCCTCGCGCCAAGGCGAGGCTATGCCTGCCTCCGCCGCGCCGATAGGCAGGCAGCGAAGCAGTCGCCATGGCGGGGCGGTAGGCTAGCGGTGGGTAGGGCAAAGTCTGGGCAAACCCTGCTCTAGCAAAGCAGGGGGAGGGGGTGTGCTGGCTAGGGAGAGGTGCGAGCGGTGCGAGCGGGAGTAATCTCTCGCCATACCATGTAAAGCCCGTCCAGGCATAGCCCGAATTAAACTTTTGCTCTTAGTATCTTGTAACACTACAGCGCATAAATTTAAAGAGCGTAGTATAACTGGTTAGTATTGTGATCTCCAAAATCATCGTTAGGTGTTCAAATCACCTCGCTCTTGATATTTTCCTTACCTTCAAGGGCAGGAGCGTATCAAATAACAATAAAATTTGTTATTTTTAATAATTTGTGCTTCCTGCCTATGGGCCCCTAGTACCAGCACCCCTCTTTTTGAGAATGCTAGCCTGCTTACGCTATAGCCTACTGCCGCTAGTTAAGAGTCCCACAGCTCCCATACTTTGCATCGCCTCTTCCATTATTCACCCTATCTATCGCCCCCACCTCGCCATCCCAGCCCTCGCTATTGGCTTAGCTGGAGCGGGGGAGCTGCTTTGCCGCCCCAGCCAAAGGCTAGGGCAGAGGGAGGGTGCTGTGCCTGCCTGTCGGAATCTCTCCCCGCTAGAGTGGTCCTTGCAAGAGTGGGTAGCTGGGGAGTGGGAGGCTAGGGAGGGGAGCGAAGCAGCAGCCACCCTGTCCTACCCCCCCCCGCCCTGTCAAGGCTAGGCGAGCAAGGCCCGCCGCGCCGCCCCGCCCCGGCCCGGCTCGCGCCGCGCCGCGCCGCGCCTGCCTACGCCTGCCAATCGGCTAGGCAGGCTAGGCCGGCAGGCAGGCAGGCAGGCAGGCAGGCAGGGAGGCAGGGAGACACAGCAGCCTCTGGTAGTGGCTGGCGCAGCGGAAGTGGTAGGGGTAAGGTGTTGTGGAAAAATGGGTATGGTCGGGAGATGTGTTCTTAATCCTAAATCTGAGTAATGATCTTTATAAGTATCTTAATTTTAATAGTGGCAATAGCCCTACCTTCTATAAATAAAAAAATAAATCCATCGATATTCACAAGAATATCGTCTATAGTCTTTATTTATGCCGGAGCATTATCTTTTAATGCTTTTTATATTCAGTCAATTGGATCAGGTATAGGTATCTATAGTGGTTTGTACCAAGTAACTGCTCTCTCTCAATTATTAGATTCTTTCATCTTTATAATAGGATCTCTAATTTTAATTGCTTGGCCTACAATAACTAATCCTTCTTCTGCGTTAGCCGGACCTAGTTTAGATTCAGGCTCTCTGTCTTTACCTACTTCGCCCTCCCCCAGCGTTGCGCGAGTAGAAGGTGGTATCGAATCCGCAAATATAGAATATTCATTAATAGTCCTCTTTAGTACACTAGGAGCTTCTTTATTAATATCCTCCGCAGATTTAATCTCTATGTATTTAAGTATAGAATTACAATCTTTTGGTGTGTATATTTTATCTACTTTATATAGAGATTCTGAATCCGCAACCTCAGCAGGTTTAAAATACTTTTTATTAGGTTGTTTATCTTCTTGTTTAATCTTATTAGGAGCTGGTCTAATATATTCATTTACAGGATTAACAAACTTTGAATCCATATATAGCTTAGTATCAGTATCGGATAGTAATACTATAACTCAAGGTTTAAGTTTAGGATTAATTATTATCATAGTAGGATTCTTATTTAAAATAGCCGCTGCTCCTTTACACAATTGGGCTCCAGATGTTTATGATGATAGTCCTACAATAGTCACAATATGGTTAACTATTATGCCCAAAATCTCAATAATCATTTTTATATTGGAAATATATACACAAATAGGGTCAATAGGTAATAGTCTTTATATCTCAATTCTGCCTGGTACTTCCGAATCTGTACTAGATTACCTATCTGGCGCAGCTGGCTCAGGGTTCCCTGCCTTGATGTCTAGCAACTCAGAAGGATCAGTCTTGGCATCCTCTGATGTGTTAAAAACCTTATTATTAATAAGTTCCCTCTTATCCTTAATAATAGGTACAGTAGTAGGGTTAGCTCAATCTAAAATTAAAAGACTGTTATCCTATAGTACTATTTCTCACGTAGGATTTATTTTATTAGCATTGGCTATAAATACTGAACAATCTGTAGATTCATTGATATTCTATATAATTCAATATTCAATAACTAACTTAAATACTTTTTTAATTATAATAGCATTAGGTTATATAATTCATAATTATGATACTAGCTCTGCCCCGATAGGATACACAACTGTTAATTCGGACGGTAATACAGCTGTGCAAGGTACAAGCGGAAAAAAAGATATTAAATTAATTTCTGAACTTAAAGGACAATTTTTCTCAAATCCTTTACTAAGTTTAAGTTTAACCGTTAGTCTATTCTCTATGGCAGGTATACCTCCTTTAATGGGATTTTTCTCTAAACAATTTGTATTATATTCAGCGATTCAAAGCGGGTACTACTTCATGTCAATAATAGGAATAATAGTAAGTGTTATTAGTGCTGCTTATTATTTAAAAATTATTAGAGTTTTACTAAATCAACCTATTGCCCCGGGGGCTGAGCAAGATCACCAAACATTAGGTAGCGTAGCTGCTACTGCTCCACTACCTTCTTCTTTCTTGCGAAGCAGCGGCCATGCCGAGGCGGCAGCAGAAAGTGGTAGCGACGTTACGCTTAATAGCTCCGCACTAGCTGATGCAAACCCATCTCCGGCTTCGCCAAACCAAGGCGAGGAGGTAGTTGAATTAACTATTACTAATTTTCATAGCTTTATGATATCTACTTTCACTTTATCTATTTTATTTTTTGTTTTAAAACCTTCTATATTGTTAAATAGTACACAATTACTTTCTTTATCTTTATTTAATTACTAATGAATACTATTTTAATGCTTTTTATTTTTGTTCCTATTTTAAGTGTTATATTATTAGCTCTTAATTTATTATTGGCACCTAGCAACCCTGATGAAGCAAAAATATCTGCTTACGAATGTGGTTATAATGTAATACCTGGTCAAACAAGAGGTACATTTCATATTCACTTTTTCGTAGTGGCTTTACTTTTTTTAGTTTTCGATCTTGAAATACTATTACTTTTCCCTATAGCGGTTACTCTTTACCAAGTAGGAACTTTTGGTTTCTCTGTAGCTTTAATTTTCTTTTTTGTATTAACAATAGGATTTATACTAGAAATTGGTTCAGGTGCTATTAAACTTACAGGATAAATAGTTTATCGCTTATAAGTATAAGAAAAAAAAATATAAACCCCCACTATTAAAAATATCACTTTATCATATACCTACCGCCTACACACCCCTAGCCATCGCACTCCCCTCCCCCGCCCCTTCCGCTGCCTGCCGCCCTGCCTGCCCGCCTGCCTGCCTGCCTGCCTGCCTGCCTGCCTGCCTGCCTGCCTGCCTGCCTGCCTGCCTGCCTGCCTGCCTATCGGCGCGGCGCGGCGCGGCGCGGCGCGGCGCGGCGAGGCGTAGCGGTGGGGTGGGTAGGCTAGGGCTAGCGGTGGGGTGGGTAGGCGTCGGAGTGGGTAGGGCAGGCGGGCGGGGCGAGAGGGCTTCTAAATTATAAGAGGTGTTTTGTTTACCCAGGCTTTGCCAGGCCAGGCGAAGCCGCAAAGGCCCCGGCAAAGCCGATAAGTCTAAATGGGGTTTTGTTGAGCGCTGCGCCCTCTGGGCAGGCGAAGCCGCAATGGCCTCGGCAAAGCCGATAAGTATAATTAGGTGTTTTGTTAAAAGAAACAAAGGATAATTCTTGCTTTTCAGTGCTTCTGCCGCCGCGACCGAAACACGTCTTTTTGCTTCTGATGCCCCGACATAAGCACCTTTAATCTTGTTAAGAGAAAAAAGTATACGGGAAAATTGTTAAATATGAAAAACAACTTTGCATTTTTTAGACCGCTTCGATTCCTAGCTAGATTCTTTATAAGAGAAGTTGCTAGACTGGTAGGATTCCCTAATACAGATTTATTATTAAGTCTTTATAGATTAACTTTCAATTTAATTAGTACCGTCGGTTTTATACCTGTAGTAAGAGTGCTATTTAGAATCAGACGATTAATTGCTTATGGGTTGCCTTTAGCTAGATTAGATGTTACAAGCTTTCTACCTCTAAATACTTATGTAGTTGAACAATTTACGGGGATACTTAGAGGTAATTGGGCTGTTATTTTAGCAATGCCTACCGCATTTTTGCGTGTCTATAATTTCGTGTTATTACCTTGCCTTCGGCCTTGTTATAATTAGTTCAATTTGGCCTCTAATTAGATTAATAGTGCGAACGTTATTTTCGACCTTTATGTTATCTACCCACCGCTAGCCCTACCCTACCCAACCCTACCCTACCCAGCCCTAGCCTACCCACCCCTACCCACCCCACCGCTAGCCTACAGCCCCGCCATGGCGACTGCTTCGCTGCCTGCCTATCGGCGCGGCGGAGGCAGGCATAGCCTCGCCCCTTCCTAGGGTAACACTGGGCAAAGCCTGCAGCAAGGGGGCTGCTTCGCTCGCCTCGCCTCGCCATGGCGGGGCGACTGCTTCGCTGCCTGCCTATCGGCGCGGCGTAGGCGAGGCGAGGCGAGGCGGGGCGAGGCGGGGCGCGAGGGAGGGTATTATTTCGTCTTTAGGTGATACTACTTATTCCTCAATTAGATCTATCGCGGAATATATTGTGCAGTTCGTGGAAAATCATAGTGATTTAGAGATTCCTAGACCTGATAATGAACACGCCTACTCGCCAAGTATGGAGGCTGGAACTGCTACATTAGACCAATTGCAAACGCCCGCACCGCATGCGAGAGGTTGGGTTACTTGTTTAGCTTTAGTTTTTGTGGGTATTACTACAACTGTTGCTACTTTATTATTTGCTGAATGTGTTAGCCAGGAAACAGTGCATTCTATTCCTGTTATAAATACATTAGTTGATTGTATTCATGTTGCTTGGCATTATATTTATAATTTATTCCCTGGATCTGGAGGTTCTGGTTCTGGCGCAGCTAATATCAGACCAGAACCTGAGGGTGTTAAGGAGGGACCGGGGATATTTCCCCTCGCTGCTTCTGCAAGAGCGCCGATGGCAGAAGCTAGTATTAGTAGCGGCCCTAGCCAAAGTAGTGGAAATACAGATTCTTATGCCACAGTTACTCCGGCTTCGCCACTTAATGTTCTAAATGAATGGGGTACTTAAGTTGAGGGCCAGGCTTCGCCAGCCACTAAATTTTTCGGGTATTTAAATATAAATAAACCCATCCCTCCTGGCTTTGCCAACTCGCCTACCCACCACTCTGGGAGGGAGGAATTTCAAGGGGCGGGGGCTAGCCCGTCTTTACATTTACCGCCGCCCCCCTTCCGCTGCCTCCCTGCCCCCATGCCTGCCTCCCTGCCTGCCTCCCTGCCTGCCTGCCTGCCTGCCTGCCTGCCTATCGGCGCGGCGCGGCGCGGCGCGGGGCGGCGCGGGGCGGCGCGGCGCGGGGCGGCGCGGGGCGGGGCGGCGCGGCGCGGCGCGGGGCGGCGCGGCGTGGCGAGAAGCAGCTCCCCAGCCAAAGGCCAGGAGTGGGAAGGGGAGGCGAGGGTATTTACCAACACAACTCCAGTCTAATTGGGTTTAATTTGGTTTAATTGGGTGGCTTCGCCCTTGTTTACCTCTTCCTGGGTTTAATTGGGTGGCTTCGCCTTGTTTACCCAGGCTTTGCCAGTCCAAGCGAATCCGCAAAGGTGAAAAATGGTGAGAGGGTTGCTAAACTCTAAATTGGTGGATTAAATTGTGGTATTGTGGCTCCAAATATCTCTTGGCCGAAGGCATTAATCTAAATTGTGGGGTTAATTGAGGTATTGGGCACCTACCCCCTTTACAACCCTCCCTAGCCCAGCATCCCTCGCACCCTAGCCTAGCCTTTGGCTGGGCTGGGGAGAAACTCCTCCCTCTTGTAGCCTACCCACCCCAGCCCGATGCCTTTGCCTGGGGAGGGCATAGCCTCGCCCCTTGCTAGGGGAACCCTGGGCAAAGCCTGCAGCCGCCCCTTCCGCCTTCCCGGCAAAGCCGCGCCTGCCCTTTTTACGGGCGAGGGCGAGGCGGCAGCGGGTGGCTGGCTAGGCGTCGGGCTGGTGTGGCTAAGGGTGGGCTGGCTAGGCAAAGGGCTTATTTTAAAAACCCATTCCAGTGAAGCAGCAAAGCAACGAAGGATAGTTTAAAAATAAACGTAGGTCAACTACTTTAAGCCAAAAATCGGACTCGAACCAATAACTAATTCTTACAAGGAACTCGTTTTACCAGTTAAACTATTTCGGCTATTAAGTTTATAGTTATTAAATATCTTCTTTACCTTACCTTAATGTTATGGCCTTGCCATTCGAACAAACCTGAACCCAACCCCTACTGGCTTTGCCTGGCCTGGCCACTATCCATACCTCTAGCCTACTACTGCGAGACTACCATGCTCCGCTGCTTTGCCAGATAAGGGGCCGGAGCTGTGACCTGCAGAGTCGGAAAAAAAACAGCAGCCTCCCTACCGTTCCGTCTTTGCTGCTTCTCGCCTCCCCCTGCTCACCCCTAGCCTACCCAGCCCTACCCTACCCACCGCTATCGGTTTTACCGGGAGGGGGGCTGCTGTGCCTGCCTGCCTGCCTGCCTGCCTGTCGGGGCGGGGCGGCGCGGGGCGGCGCGGCCAGGGTTTGCCCAGCCTCCCCAGCCAAAGGCTAGGGGTGGGTAGAAGAGGGTAGCCAAAGGCTAGGGGTGGGTAGTCACAATACCTAAATGGTTGGGCAATGTAAACAGAATATTGGCGAAGCTTGTGCTTTTTTTAGTAATAATCGATATGATAAATTTTATTTAGTTAATACTCCTTAAGCTAGCTCCAAACAGGGGTTTAAATATAATTAGAATTAAAATTTAATAGGTTTTTGTAGTTAGATTTGCACAAATTAAAAAAAACTTTTTTTTGTCCCGGAATGAATTCGAATCACTATCTCATTAGCTTCAATAAGGCGCTTTACCATTAAGCGACCAGGACTATTATATAAAAAACCAGCTTCTTTTACTCAAAAATTGAAAATTATTTAAATTATTTAAATGTTCTTTAAATATAAGGCTAGGTAGGGTAGAGGTGGGTAGGCTAGGGCTAGCGGTGCGGTGGCGATAGCTAGGGCTAGGCAGGGAGTTGGCAAAGCCAGGGGGGTGGGTAGACGGGGGGCTGGGGTGAGGGGGGTTAACGCCTATTTTTAAATACTGCTAGAGCCTTTGGCTGGGCAAAGCCCAGGGGGACCCATACCTTAGTCAAAGGGAGCTCCAAACCGTCACGGCGAAGCTTACAGCCAGGCCTAGGGGGCAAGACACAAATTAATAAAAAGCGTGAGCCATTGAAACAGTGAAACTAAATGTACCTCTTGCAGTATTTGTGGTGTATCTACTTGTTGTTACAAGCTGAGCTTTACCTCTGGCCATAGTACCATTTTGAACTTTTTTAGTTGTAAGTCTAGGTATTATGTGATCTCTTAACAATCGACCTCCAAATTTAACTTTAACACCAAGTAATACAGAAGGTAAAATATTCTTAAATTTTATAGTATTAGCTAAATATTTAATATTTTTATAATCTCTAATAATTATTTTTTTAAATAAGGAACTCATAATAAAATCGGACTTAGAATTTTCACCTAATATACCAAGAGTATTAGCTAAAATATGACTCTCTAAATAAGCATGATGTAATCTAACTAAATCAAATTCTACTGATTTATTTAGTATTTTACTTAAATAAGCACATAAAAATTGTAATTGTCTAATAAAATTTTGTTTATCAAAATACCCTGTCCCCGCCGGTCGGCTAGATCTATTTCTATTATTATTTTTATTTTTATTAATGTAAAAAAATAAATGTATAACTATTTTATTAGGAGTAATATCAAAAACAGGTTTACTAATTAAAGACCCAAGAGAAAAGAATGCATTTTCTAAAAGATTGTTAATATTTAGGTTCAATTTAGTATGTAGCACCTTCTTATTAAAATTATAAGCTATAATTTTATTAAGAATCATATTCGATTGAAATTTATGAACTGATACAATCATATCTCTTAAATTTAATCCTAATAAATTATTAGTTTTAACTTGTTTAGATGTTACGTTAGATCTTATAATTTTATTTAATTTATTGGAAAAATTATCAGAACCAGTGGCGTATTCTACTTTGCTTAAATAGTATTTGTCTGATTTTAAATAATTTTGTATATTATAAGTCTTTAACATATTTGAGATTGTACTGCTTTCCAGTTGATTATCAATATTATTGTGTGTAGCCAGCCCCGCAGTGCTAGGCGAGGATGGAGAAGCAATTTTAGCTGTCAATATTGTTTGCAAGTTACCCTCGCCCGCCCTTGGCAGGCTAGTAATTTTTTTGCTATTTGCCCGCAATACGGAGAAGCTATTTATTTTTCTTGCTGCCGACCCGACTCCCCCTGCTTGCAAGGCCCGACTCGACGCGCCGATAGGCAGGCAGGCAGGCACAGGAATAGAGGATGCTTGAGTTAATTGTAAGCTTTTTGATTGTTTGTCGGTTAGACTCTCTGAAAAGCAACCTAGTGGTTGCTGGCTTTGCCCTAGTTCGTTTAAAGGTGCTCTGCTACTTTCTAGGCTTAGCCCTTGAGGGTGAGACAAGACCGCGAGTGTTTTTTTATTTAATATTGTAGATAAAACAGAAGTCATTTATTATCTATTTTTTAATTATCTGATTATCACTCGCAATTGTATTTATTTATATTTTTTTAATTTACTTGCAAGGCCCGACGCGCCACCCCGCGCCGCCCCGCCCCGCGCCGCCCCGCGCCGCGCCGCGCCGATAGGCAGGCAGGCAGGCAGGCAGGCAGGCAGGCAGGCAGGCAGGCAGGCAGGCGCAGCGCTACTATCGGCTACGCGCATTATGACATTCCGGATTTGCCTATTCTGCTGCCTCCCGCTACCGCCTCCCCACCCCTACCCTACCCACCCCTTGCCTTTGGCTAGGCAAAGCCTGGGCATAGCCTGCTCTAGCTAAGCAGAGGGAGGGAGGCCTGCTGTGCCTTCGTCCAGGCTTTGCCCAGCCTCCCTTGCTAAAGCTAGGGGTGGCTACAAGAGGCAGGGGAGGGTGGCTAGGGTAGTAGCGGTAGACACTATGCCGAAATAAAAAATACCAGTACTATTTTGTTTTGTTTTTTAACCTGCGCAAGGTACTTAAAGGAACAGGGCTGCTGCAAAGGGGATTTGTTTATTTAAATTAAATCCCTTGCGCTGCCACTTAAGCTGCGCAAGCAAAGAGGAGGAGGATGGTACTAGTCTGCTGCTGCGCAAAAGCGGCAAAGCGGCGTAGCGGCGAGCAGCAAAGCGGCTGGTATTAAGGATCGGTAGAGCCAGAATAACGTAACAACGTAGCCATCGTAGTCGCAGACATTTTTAACAAAATAAAAAAATAAAAAACAAAAATTTTTGAGTACTAAGGTTTATAATTTTATCTAAATTACCATATGCCGCGATAAGATAAATTAACCATTTAACATTTCACTTATTAATAATAACAAATGTTTTATTTAAGCAATAAGTGTTTTATATAAAGGATACTGTTTTTATATTAAAATGTTAAGTACAATAGCTACTAAAGAAAAAGCCGATACCCGAGGTATCTTTAAAAAAGTTTAATTAATATAAAAAACACATCTCTCTGCAAGGCCCTGGAAAACAGCTACGCCACCTCTTACTAGCCTAGCCACAGCGAAGCAGCGAAGCAGTACACTACCACCCACGCCCCCCATATTCTAGCCCTACCCACACCTAGCCTTTGGCTTGGCAAAGCCTAGGGGTGGTGTAATAAAGGTAAGGGGTGGGGTGGCTAGGGGTGGGCTGGAGTAGAGATAGTATGTGCGGCCTGGCAAAGCCTGGCCAGAGATGAGCGTAGCTATAGGTTAGGGAAAAGGTTAGTTATAATAGTTTAGTACCTTGAAGACCCCATGCACGTAGCGGCGGAAAGGGTAATATTAAATCGATGCTGTATCCTTCTTTTTATTAAAATAAATTTTTTGTAGTCTTCTTTTATAAATAAAATCACCGCATTAACTATAGATACAACAAGGGCGAAGCCACACGATTGAATAGACTTACCCTTCTTCCGCTGCCTGCCTCCCTGCCTGCCTGCCTCCCTGCCTCCCTGCCTGCCTGCCTGCCTGCCTGCCTAGCCTGCCTACGCCGATTGGCAGGCGTAGGCAGGCGCGGGGCGGCGCGGCGCGGGGCGGCGCGGCGCGGGGCGGCGCGGGGCGGGGCGGCGCGGGGCGGGGCGGCGCGGGGCGGGGCGGCGCGGCGTGGCGTGGCTTGGCGATAAGCAGTCAAACGTTTTTAAGCTATAAAAGGGTGTCTTTTTTTACTTCTACGCAAAGCCAAGATAGTTATTTTAACTGCTAATTACTAAAGATTAAGGATACAGACGGTACTGTAGTAGACCTGCAAAGTCTAATTTTAAGGTTCAATTCCTTCTTAATTTTTTATAAAAAAATTTCATTTTAAATTAAATCTAAAAAAAACTAAAATTAGTTTTTATATTAAATTAAAAAAAGAAAGTTTAAAAACAAGATAAAAAAAATAAATTATATATCAAATATAAAATAAAATCAAAAATAAATAAATTATCTCGCAAAATTAAATCAGCCGATATGCTTTTCTTCTTAACCCTCATAGCTTTAAATCAAATAACAGTTTGACCTAAAACCTTTTTACAGTAAACTAACTTTTTTATCTTGTTTTCTCTTAGTTTAAAGGTAAAACTGCATTTTTCTAAAGCGCGAATTCTGGTTCAACTCCAGGAGGGAGCTTTTTTTAGAAGAAGTATAAATATTAGGAAATAGCTCTATTTTTCTAAGACCAAATATAACCAGGCCTGGTAGAGTCTGGGCTGGCCTGATACTGCCCACCCACTCAGCCTAGCTACAGATGCGCAGGTTACCCCTCCCTTATGGCGACAGCGATGCAAGGGGGCGTTGCAGTAACTGTACTGCTTTGCATCGCTTTCGCGCAGCGGTAGCTAGGGGCAGGGTAGCGCTTATAATTAAACAGTTGCACTGGCGTGCTGTATAGTACTACTAGGGTAGGATGTAGCCAAGATGTTGCGGCATAGTTAAAAAAATAATTAGCCTAAGTGATCTTGGTACCGTTTTAAAGAGAAAAATATATAATGCAAACTACAATTTAGTTGCAACGTGCTACGTAGAGAAGGATGCTTATCATCCTCTCCAGCCCTTCGGGTTGATAAAGCCGTAGTGGGTAGTACGACCAAGAATAGCCGCTTGGACTGATACAAGTAAATAAATTAATAAAGGTTTCGTGTTTTATAGAAGTAATAAACTGCTTTGGCTTTAACCGTATCCTAAAAAGATTAATACCGCTAAGCCGCTGTGGCTCTGCCCTCCCTTTATCTGGCCGAAGTAAGAAAAGATGGGGGCGGTTGCTGAGCCTTTATCATCTACTGGCTATATGGCCTGGCTTTGCCTCGCCTCTACCCAACCCTCCTCTCTCTATCCTACCCCTACCCAGACCTAGCCACCCATAGCTATCGCCTTTGCCTCGCCTCGCCCCTTTATGGCGAGGCGGGCCGCGAGCAAGGGAGGAGTATCCACCGCCTCCCTTGCTCGTATGGCCTTCGCCTCTTGCAAAGCAGGAGGCTGGGCAGGCTAGGGTGTAGGTAGAACAATGGTAAGGGCGGAAGCAATAATAGAATAAGGCAGCGGTCATGGGCCGGCCCTCATAACTCAAACTACGTGGAAAGTAGTTGTATTAAAATATAAGTAGTACCCTTAAAGTTTTCTTTATTATTAGTTACAGTGGTAAATTATATTTATGTAAGAAAAAATTAAATTAAGTTTATTAAGTTGTTTTTTACTTATTAAATTAAGATGATTTATTTTTAATAAATTATATAAATAATAATAATTTTTAATTTTACTGCCTAGCCTGCTACTGTCGCTCCCTCAATTCTTGCTGCCGCCTTGGCAAAAG